CCATCCTCCCCTCCCCCGTCCTTTACTCAGCGTCCCCCCCCCCTCCCTCTCTCTCAGGAGGCCTCCTTGATCCGCCTGTGAGAACTGAACTGTCCAAATCGAAGTACAGATATTCCAAATATGTTCCTCCAATATAACTGAATAACGATGAGGGGAAATAAAGGCGTATGCTTGCATTAAAAGCTAAGAAGCAGACATAAATATGGCTAGCAGCTAAAAAACTTACCTCATCTAAATCCACTCTTAAACTGTGTTCTTGCATGCTTGAATATTACAAAAATGCAGCGTAGCGAGTTCAAGTCTGCCCGCCCAGTGAGTTAAGCTTTGAAGCTGGAATTTTGAAAATAAAAAATATTTTTTCTTCGGAATAAGAAGTCGAAAATCTAGAACTATTATTCAGGATGCTTTTCGCGCACTTCGTGCCTTTGCATGAGCAACCTTGGAAATTATAGCTGTAGAGAGATATTTAATACAAGAGCTGGTTAAATAAAATTCACAGCAAAAAAAAAAAAAACATCAAGACAAAGCCTTTACTCGGAGAAATTCAAGTGCTAGATGACAGATTTGCGTCAACGAAACTTTTGCTTCATAACTGTTTTCGGCCAAATAACCAATATGAGGCTGAGCTCGAGTAAAGGAAGAAGTCACAACTAACACCAAGGCACAAGCACATTTGTGAAACAAGAAATGTGACAATCGGATGAAAAATCCAGAAAATGTTAAGCAAGAGAACGATGAAATAAAAAACCGCACCGCACCTTGAAGAAAAAAAAAAAAAAGAAATTACTCGACCAGAATGAATTCGAAAATTGCTTACCTGTGGCTCCGTTTTCTCCTCTTTCACGGAACTTTCTTCCTTAATGGCGGCAGCAGGTACCAGAACCGGTGGTTTCTGCTCCGACTGGCTATCCGGTTCCGCTCCATCGTTTTCTGAATTCGCATTAACAGTAACCTCTTCTTCATGAACGATAGCAGGCACCGGTGAAGGTGGCCGGTCCGGTGGAAATAGATATTCGTAGTCCACAACTGTAGACAGCGGCAATCGACGTAACTCTTCCGGTTTGAACCTTAAAAGTGAGTTCGATATACTACCCAAAAGCTTCACTAAGATGCTACTTTTAAAATGTAAATAAATAGCGACGCGCACCAGACTGGCCGGTGCGATCATGCGTTTTGTGCAATTCAGCCCATCGAACGA